GACATTCTTTCATGTTGACTCGAATGACGGTACTTGTCGCCCCGTTTGTCGAAGACGACTCGCAGCGAGCTCACTCGACCAGCTATTCGACACCCCATGAGGTCGACTCAAAAGGCGTTACTTCTTAGTGAAGTTAGAGGAAGACTTCATCCTTGAGCCTCCTCCACTGACACAACATCGACGTCGCATTTAATGCTTGACAAACGTCATCATGCCTCTAGCAAGGTTGTTGATAGCGGATCGCGGCGCGTCGCGGCGAGGTACCGCTAAGGTTATATCGGGCTATTGCGGCGAAATCGCGGCAAATAGCGCACAGTAAAATAGCGGTCAAATTTAAATATATTTAAATATCCTAAATAATAAGAAAATTCATAAAAAAAAATCTAAAAATTCAATTAGTTGTAAATTTCTTGTATTATCAATAAATAACAATTAATAAGCTTGTTGTATGAATGAAACTATGAAGAAATTCAAGAAATATAGCATCATAATATGTGTGATAGCGGGTTTAGCGGGTTTAGCCGCTTTTAACAACAAAAATCCGCTTTTAACCGCGAAAACCCGCTTTTAACCCGCTAAAATCCGCTTTTACGCGCTATTCGAATGAATAGCGGATTTTCCCGCTTAAGCCAGCCGCGAAACCCCTACGCGTAGCGCTGAAGGGCCGCGACCGCTATTCGCGCCGCTATAGCCCCGCTATTTACAACACTGGCCTCTAGCCCCGATAGTCTTCATGACTGTAAAACCCTAAAAATTTGTGAAATAATTTTAAATGAGCTTTATTGTGATTGATGATTATTCTGGGATAAATAGATCAGTTTGGAATCGATTTGAGATCGATTCGCAGTTTCAGGCTCGGTATTGCGAGTTTACTAAAAATTATTACTATTTTTTTAGTAATTTTTCTGTTGATCAGATGGGCACGAGATTTGCGCCAGTGATCTTAGAATGTCAAGACTGTGGGTAAATTTTCGTTGCTTTCTAAAAACGAACTCTTGAAACCCTGATTTTAAAATTTTATATATATCATATATATATATATATTATATATATATATCTATATATATATTAATATTATATATATATATATATAAATATATATATATATATATTATAATATATAATTATATTGATATATATCATATTACCCTCCCCTTACTCTCTTGCTCAACAACAGCGGCGAGAGAGAGTAAGAGAGGAGAGCGAAGATAAAGGAGGAGAAGGGGGGGGGGGGAGAGAGGGGAAGAAAAGAGAGGAAAAGATGGAGAGGATTTTGGCTTTTCAGAGATCAGAAACGGATAGGGATTCCAATTTCATAGATCAATAAAGATAACTTTATCTCTTTCCAAACCTATCCCAGTTAGTTTTGATATTGAAAAAAAATTAATGAATAAAATTTTAGATCAAATCCTAAAAATAAAAAAAAGACATGATATTGATGAATAGAATATTAGATCAAATCCCTAAAGACATGATCTTTCTAGCTAGAACTATATGTATCTGTCCACTATCGAAATTACTGTTGCTATTCATACGTACGTGGGTACTATTCATAAGTACTATTACTATTCATAAATACTGTTACTATTCATACTTATGTATACTATTACTGTTACTATCATACACATGAGTACTATTCATAAGTACCGTTACTATTCATAAATACTAACACTGTTCATAAATACGATACTGTTCATATGTACGGGCACTATTATCATTACTATTCATACGTGCATGTACTATTCATAAGGAATGTTACTATTCAAAAGTATTGTTACTATTCATAAGTACAAGACTATTCATACGTATGTGTACTATTCATACGTATGTGTACTATTCTTAAGTACTGATACTATTTATATGTACGGTACTATTTACGAGTACAATACTTGTGTTCTTTTTTTGTTTGAGGTGTTTTCTCTTACACGTTAAATCGTGAACACGGGGTTCAAGATGTATGACGATACACACACAACCAAGCGTGTACACAAATAGAGTTGTGACACATACACGGACATTCCGAAGAGGGTTATCACAACTATTGTTTCGATCGCGTATGGATAATATTTAATTAAAACCCGCATAGATATACATGTATGGATATCGTTTATGAGCACTGCTAAGTAATGGGATGTTGCGTCGATATACCATTAGTACATGTCATTGAGACGAGTTTTTAGGATGCTTGATCTAGTAGTCTGTCCCGCACGTAGATGTAATGAGGCTTGTGAGCCGTATACCTAGGATGCCTTGATTTGATAGTCCGTCCCACACGTTGATGTGATGAGACTAATGAGGTGTGTGCACTATTAGGATGCCGATTTGGTAGTTCATCCTGCATGATAATGCGATGAATTATAAACTTTACAAGGATTTTCATTGTGATAATTATCTAATAGCCTGAGTCTTGGTGGATGCCATTATGAACATGACTCATCGCTGAGTTATATATTACCGAGGTACTTTACTCTTGTGGGTACGCGGGATTATATATTGTTGTTTATATTATATTCCAAAGGATAGTGGAAGATATTTTTGGTCCGATATTTATGACGACTTTACCTTCTTATATTGCTTTCCTTTATTCCTAGTTTGGAATTGATAATTAACGATTTACAATTTGAGACATATGTTATATACATAAGGGTTTCGTTGTTTGGATTATTTCGTTTGACGTACTAGTCTCGTGTTGTGAGTTTCTAATTATTGAGTCTATTTAGATTATTTATTCTTAGTCCAGTATTGATAATTAGTTATCTATAATTTGAGACATATAATAAATACACGAGGGTTTTCTTGTTTGGATTATTTCGCTCGACGTACTACGTTTCGTATTGTAGGTTTCTACATATTAATTCCATTTAGATACATGGTAAATGATCTAGGTAGACTATGCCTAATAGATAGAGCCCCCATCACATCTAGTAGTCCTTCCCCTGGGGGCGTATGGAGATGATCTTGTTGTAGCGCTTTGACGCTCTTGTTATTTCTCTTTTTATTTTCCAATTCCTTTCAGGCAGTAACTCAGAGTTTCGGAGAGCCACAGGATGACGGACTTCTAGCATAGTCGTCGTCACATATTTTTAGTAGATAAGACTCCACCGTAGTTGATATTTATCTCTAGACATTTAGAGTTTTGTATTTTATCTTGTAAATGTTGTGTGCCTTAGTTTATTTTCAGTTGACTCATATTGAGATACTTCACATTTATTTCAGACTTCAGTTATGTTCAGTTTATTCAGTTGAGACATGATTATATATATTAGATATCTCTTTTTACATCATGTCTATTGTATTTATTTCCCTTATTTTGTCTGTTTTGTACATGCACTTGTATTTAATTTTACTAGAGAGATATTACTGTGATGATGAAATATGTTGTTGCACAGTGTGAGTGCATGACAGGTTTGACATCTCTTGGTTCATCTTGGACTGTAGCCATGTGTGAAAACATGGGCGTCACAATGACTCATTGGATCATGTCGGCACAGCCATATTTCAGATCACTTCACATTTAATGCTGAGGCGATCTCCCCTTCAGTTGTCAGCCAACACATGTAAAGCAAGAGCTGACTCAGTCGCCATCTCATGCTTCTTCAATGCCATCCTGCGCTTGGCCACAATGACGGTTCTACCCTTCGAGCACCACTATAAATATGATGTACTATTCAAACATAAGGGGATTTGGATTTTTCAAGATCTGGACCTCTGATCTAATCCAAAATAGACCGCAAATCATACTGCACACACAAAAGAACTCTCATAGTTCTTTCTTTTCCCCACTCAAGCTCACTACCTAACTTGATCGTCAGAGGAACCATGGGGGAACCAAGCTCGTTCTCTCATGAGTTTCTATTTGTGCATGCTTTAGCTACCTAACCCAGAACTGGATATTCAGAAAAGGAAGTTGACCCTCATCAACTTCACCATATCCAACCACAGACATTAATTGACCGTGTGATCACTTAACATCAATAACCACTACAAAGATTGTCTGGTTATGATGACTTCTCCTCGACATAGGTGTTGTCTCCTCAACGGCGGCTCCTCTACATTGCGATAACATGAGCACAATCAAAATTACTAGCAACTCAGTCTTCCATGAGTATACGAAGAATATTGAGATAGACCCATTCATCTTCCTCCTAACATTCTCAACAAAATCTCATTCAACACATAGTTCAGACCCGGCTCCTTTGCAAGACAAGCATATCCAATGATGTGCCTCATCAGTCATATTTTTACATGTTTAGGAATTGATATTTTATTAGGATAATTTATAATAGTTACACAATTAAAAAAGGCTTAATATTAGAAACCCCCTTAACTTTGGATGATTATCAAAAAATTTCCCTTAACTTTTAAAATATCATAAAACCCCCTTAGGTTTCAGGGTTATCATAAAACCCCGTTTATGTTTAAGGTTTTATCACAAAACCCCTGTAACAACATTGTCCCTTATTATCACAATTTTTCAATGAAACAAAATACTCCAAGTAGGGATTTCACACCCGCGTAATTTAAAAAATTATAATTTAGTTTAACACATTAATTTGATTTCCTAAAAAATCTCTTTCTGAGTTAAAAAAAACTCTCCCCTTAAAATGGCTAGAATACTTTGAGTTGCTGATAATTCGAGATAATCAGGGTAATGCTGTTCGGGAGGTTTCATGATATAACCTTATAGTTAAAGGGGGTTATGAGGAAAGTTAAGGAAGGTCTACTAACAATGGCACAAAGTTAAGGAGGCTTTTCTAATATTAAAGCTTTAAAAGTTTAAAACTTAGGATCGTAATCCCCATTATGTTAATCCAATAACTGGATCAAGTGAGTAACTGTATTAAGGACGGCCAATAATAATAATAACCTTAGAATAATGTTCCAAAGGCTCCAAACAACACTAGTCTCAGCCTGCTAACCCATTATAATGGGCCAACGTAAAACAGCTTCAAAGGCATCCACCCCTCACGGGGCCCGCTTCTCTGCGGGTAGTCGGCCCAGGGACTTTCCCGGATTGGAGGCACCCGCTCACTTCGTCCTAAGCATTGTTGCAGGCTAATGTCCACCTTCCACTTTATAAAATGCCTCATCTAATTTGTTCCAGTTCGATGTGGGACAATAGAAGACACTTGGGTTGAGGTTCTTGGGAAGCGGAATGCTCACAGCAGCAGGGGTGGGCTCTCGACACGGACAGTGTTTTTTATCGCAGGTAGACCGCTTCAACTTGCTATCCCGATCAATGGCAAGGACCTCGGTGTACACCGTCAGCATCTCGGCCAACGAGTTTGTTTTCGTTTCTGACCCCAACGACGCCATGAAGTCCCTTGGCCTGCTTTGCTTTCGGCGTGAGGACGCCCAGGCTCTGCTCGCTCAGGTCAGGGGACAATTCTCTCTACTTTAGGGTTTAGGTGGATCCTGCTTGAGCGTCGAAAATTTTCTAAAGCTTGTTTCATCATGGAAATTGGAGAAGTTTTGGATTTTTTTCCCCGAAAGGGCTCTGCTTTGTGCATTTAGGATTGGGGTTTTAGGGTTTGGGGCCTCGGGTTTTGGATTTCAGGTTTCGATTCTTTGAATTGTAGGGGAAGTGAATGGATATTTTTGATGGTCTTTTTGTTTGTGCGCTGAGAATTTGGGTTGCAGGTTCAGCTGAGGAAGCTGGCGCTGGGGAAGGGGGCCAGAGTTGTGCCCATTACTCTTGATCAGGTTTTCTCCCCACCTCCTAATTACTCTTGGATTGACTGTAGAAATTGGATATTGGTTCTTATCTGTTCTCTTAACGGAATTGGGGCTTAAAGGTTTGAGGAGTTAGAAATTGATAATTTCATTTATCATCAAGCATTGTTTTTTCCCCTCTTTCATGACAGCATCCTATGTGCGTTCTGAACCGAGCTTGAAATTTTATTGTTGCCTTGTTTTTTTTCCTTATGGCATTGTTATTTTCTTTTATTTGTTAGTATTTTGGATTGTTGTCTTGTAGGTTTATATGTTGAAGGTTGAAGGAATTGCATTTCGGTTTTTGCCTGATCCTATTCAAATAAAGAATGCATTACAGGTTTCGTCCTTGACGCCTATGATGCATTAATTGTTTGTATATCCTTCTCTGTTAACATTAACATACTTTTTCTTTTATGCTGGAGCTAGCAGCTTTTCTGATTAGTGACAGTTCAATCGTAAGCTTATTGAGGCGCGCGCCCCGGGCGCGGGGTGCTTCGGCCTTGGGGAAATGCGCCCCGCATGCGAGGCGGGACGCTGCACGCAGCGAGGCGCGCGCCTCGCGTGCGTCTCGCACCTGTGTTATGTAACATACTCTTTCATCTATTTTTAAAAATAATTTACATAATTACATATTTATATTATGTAATATACTCTTTCTTACTTGTTGCTAATCTATTTTCATCTTTTCATGTTTAACCTATAAAAAGAAAAAAAATAATTAGTAATTTTGTATACTTGTTTGCTAATTGTAACTTCCTTCTCTAATTAGCATGCTAACTAGCAAATTATGAACATGTAAATATGTAATTGTTACATTCATTCATCTTTTCATGCTAGGTAGCAAATATCAATTAAGAATACTAACTAGAAAATTATGAACAATCATGTTTGTTTATTATATTTCTTAGTCTTTTATGTGACAATTTATAAACATATGCTCATAATTGTTAATCACTTAATTTGATGATTTAAATACATGTTTCTTGTATCTTTTTTGTTACTTTAAAAATTCAGTTAGCATAATTTGATGATTTAAGTTGATATTTTCATAATTTTGGATGTAGGTAACTAATATGTTGCTTATATGTTTCTGTCTTATGATGTTGGCAAATATTAGTTTGAGTTATGCGCCTCAATTAGTGAGGCGCGCGCCTCGTTGTGCGCCTTGCGCATGGTGTGCGTAAGGGACCTTTGCGCCCCGCATTACGCCTTGCGCCTCGATAACACTTATATACCTTCATGTGTATGGAGATATATTGCAGCTAGAGGTTATTTTATAAAAGAAGAAGATGAATTAACTCTAACATCCACATATTGTTGCATAGAAACTTGATAAGCTTCATCCTTCTCTAATAATTACAACAGTCTGCAACAAGCTTTGAAGTGTGACTTATGTTTTTGTATATATAGAGTCAGTTTTTGGACCAGCTGCAAATAAATAAGCGACATGTTTCACAACTACAGTCATAGTGCAACCCAGAAAACAAAAGTCAAGAAGTAGATATCTTGCCTACACTTATGGACGATCGTAGTTCACTGTATAACTTGGCGTTTTTAATATACCGCCTATGAAATTGAAGGACACGGGTAGGGAAGGCAATTTTTGCCCATGCCCATTTACTTGCCTGGCCCGCCCATCATTTGGCCCGTCCAAAACCCACCCATTTAGTTAAATGCGTCTAATCAGGCGGGTTCATCTCAAACTATACTAAATGGGCACTAAATGGGCGGTATCAATTCACCCATTTACCCGCCCGTATTCCCAAAACCAAACCCAAAGACTTCTTGTTCTTTCCTTCTCGTTCTTTCCGTCTCTTTGCCGATTAGAAAATCAAACCGACGGAGGAAAACAACCCCTAGATTTTCTCCCCAATTCTACATAAAATCCGGCGACGTCGACTGCGCGAGATTTGATACCTTCCTCGTCGTCGAGAGCGAGCAAGAGATCCAATCTCCTCCTTCGTCGTCAGTTACTTGATCGATTTGAGGTAATCTTTCTCTTCAAGTTTGAAGAAATTATTTATTTTTGATCTTTCGCTGTTGTTATTTGCTAGTTCCATTCAATTATATGTATGATTATGGAACTTTTTTTTCCTGACGAAATTAGGGCCAAAGGTTATATCTTTATCGGTTTCCAGTTGGCAGTATGAGAGAAAAACTTTAATTATGGCTGATATACTCCACAGAGAACAAACAAGGAAAAATATGATCAAATTTTCATGTATCTAATCATCGCATACAAATTTTCAATAGTTCAGGCTACCTGGATAAATAGACATCGCACAAGTATCCGTCATTGAATTATGACAAATGTTTGGTTTCCAACAAAGTTCTAATAGTTTTTTTTATAATTCCGGTTGAATTATGAACAAACTTTGGTTTTTCTACAAAACAACTGATAATGATCAGTGAAAAGGACAGAAAATATAATTAACTGAATAGCACACGCACAGGACTTCACTGATCACAAGGTTCCGGATGCTTGTGATATGTTTTATAGTTCTCATCCAGTTCAAATTCCAGATCAGGTTCCCAAGCAACAAGATCTGCGTGATTTCCGGTTACAATGGCTCCCAGATAAATAACAGGAATTGACTGTTAATAAAGGAATTCCTTCGCATATGTTACATGAATGATAATATTGTTAATGGATATGGAACCTTGAGGTATTGACCTGCCAGCTTTGCTGGCCTCTCACTCCACCGTGTTACCAACTGACTTAACGTGAGTCCATATTTTCTCACATAAGTCCATGTCACTACAAGAACATACTGCAAACGGAGACATACTAGTAATCCTTTTCTGGTATTCAAGCCAACAGGAAAAAAAGTAGATTGCATAAACAAAGATGAAATGATTAAATTGTTCGTGATAAGTTAAACATCGATTAGATAAATTCACATAGGAGCTCAAGAGTGTACCTGCAAAGATGATATCCCACCCTACGCCTTTAGAAAGTTTCCTGTAAGCTTTCTGTTTCCTCTTAATGATATGCAAGGATTGAAATGGGGATTTGTTCATGCCTTGTATTTCCCCATTCTGTCCATATCCCTGTAAGCTTTCTGTCTCCTCTTAATTGATTAAGTTGCTATGTTGCTTTCTAATCCATGTCTATCCCATAAGTTGTATTGTTGCTCCATATTGTTGAAACTTGAAAATTTGTATTATACATTGAGCTCAAAAGCAACTCTTACTTGATTAGCGTCAAATGAGAATTTATCTGTATAATATGTAAGCTGCTTGGTATTTCTAAAATCCTTTAGTATTGCTTATAAGTTGGAGTTATGTTCAGTTCCTGACTGTTAATCCTGTTTCAGGTTTGATACTTGCAGCAACAGGCCCATTACAGGCGTATCTGAGTAGCCTTCCAGATTTGAGATCAAAAGTACCTCAACCACATTAGTTTATCCCCAGTTAAGGTAATCTAGATGATATTCAAAAAATATTTCATTGCAGACGTTTTCATCTGGATTTGTCTGTGTACTTTTATCTTTTATTTTGTTCTTTTTTTGTTTTTCGTTTTTGTTGGTCAACAAAGGAATCTGCAAGTATATTAATCTCCATATTCATAGAAGTTAAGAACACCTTCTTTAGTACACTAATGAGTGGTTCTTACGCAACTCCAATTCACAGTTTTGGGGAATGTGCTAAGGAAGTTCAAGTTCGAGTTAAAGACTAAAGCATCAGTGACATCAGTGTAGGTTCAATATTGGTAAAACAGTGGAAAAGATAACTGTAGTACAGTTAAGAAATTTCTTCTCCATTAAGAAAACACTCAATTTGGCCGTATCTAGGTGCAAATATAAAAATATTTGAGAAACAATTACAGAATGAAAGATGAGATGAAGGAAAAAAGAAAATTCCAAATACATATTAAATACCCCCAGAAGTAAGCACCACATCTACAGGTGCATACTCTAAACAGAGACCACATTAAGAGCAACAGGACTTCTAACAGTATGAACACCATCCCTCTATGTAATGGCACCAAATACAAAACTCCTATTGCTACTCCCCAGAGGAACAATATCCACTCTAAATCCCTTTGCTTCACCAGCTTCACTGAACCTAAGCTCATCAGGCGCCATTTTAATACTGACACCTGCTGGATTCTCTACATTAACACTATAATTCCAGCAACCGTAATGAGCATGCTGAATCCACTGCTATTGAGCCTCAACGGACTTTAATACTGTGAGTGGGGTCCACCTTCTGAGGAGACAGAACAACATGAAAAGTTTTTCCAGTACGTGGGGGCCACGACATTGAGCTGGACAAAGCAAAAACGCGTGAAGAGCCAAAGCCATGTGAAAAGATAGGAAGTGGGGTCCACCTACCCATGTGCAGTGATATATCAATTTCTCTCTTGTTGCGGTTACTGCCCACCCGAGATTATAGCTATATATATAGCTGTAATTGTTTTTTATGTTTGTGTGCAATTGAGGTGGTGCAAGACTTTTTGCGGTTGTTGTGCAGTCGGCTTTTCTTTCTTTGGCGGGGCTGGCAGAGAGCAAAAGTGAAGGGGAAGAAAAATAGCGGCTGCAATAAGGGAAAAGTCTTAGGGCTTTGTGAAGAGAGAAAAAGGCTTTTAGAGGCTGACCTTTTCTTGTGAAGAAAAGGAAGGAGCCTATTTGAGGGTTTAACTGTGAGAGTTGTAAACCTATTTGTATTCTTTTTCTTTCTATTAGTAGATCCCCATCCTTGCCCCGTGGACGTAGGCAGTTTGCCGAACCACGTAAAATTGGTTTGTTTGTGTTTGTGATCATTGTAATAGTTTTTAGGATCCATCGATAAGTCAGTCCTAGAACTGATGAGAGGAAGAATGAGAGGAAGAGCCGATATCTTACTTTGTTGAGATATTCGCTTCAGATTCTTATTTCCTTGGTGAGACGGGAATTCTTATTAGGATCTTTCTCTCTTATTGTGCATCAGAAACTCTGTCGAAATTTTTGTTACGCACAACAAGTGGTATCAGAGCCTAGGGTTTTGCCTTGGTTGGAAGAGTAGATCAATTTGGAGGCTCGTCTAGGGTTTCGTTTGGTGATAAATGTGGGATTTTTTGGTAAAGACTATCTTTTCAGTTTTGGATCTATTCTTCGTTCGTTGGTGCGTTAAGAAAGATGTCGGGGAAAGAAGGTGCTTCGAGTGTCGAGGGTGGTGCTTCTGACGCGAAGACCATTCAGAGATTGAATATCCACTCTATGAAGATAGATGTGAAGAAGTTTAATGGCACAAACAATTTTGGATTATGGAGATACGATGTTTTGGATGCGCTGAACGCGTAAAATTTGGAGGATACATTAGAGTTAGATGGCAAGCCAGATGATATTGAAGAGAATGTTTGGAAGAAGATGAATCGAACGACGTATGGTGTGATTAGGTCTTGTTTGACTCAAGATCTAAAATATGATGTGATGAATGAGACTTCTGCAAAGAAGATTTGGGAGATTCTCGAAAACAAGTATCTGACAAAGAGTGTTGAGAACCACTTGCATTTGAAGAGGAGACTTTATCGTTTCCAGTTAAAGAAGGGAACATCAATTAGAGATCACATGAACACCTACACAAAGCTTCTTGCGGATTTGGCGAATGTGGATGTCATAATTGAAGATGAGGAAAGGCGTTGCTATTGTTGAGTTCCTTGCCCGACGAGGAATATGAGACATTCGTCCTTATTTTGATCAATGGGAAGGCATCTCTTTCGTATAGTGAGGTCACTGCTGCACTGGTGAATTATCAGCTTCGGAAGAAAGATAAAGAGACTTCGACTGAGTCGGTAGCAGAGGCGTTGGTCGCAAGAGGGAATGGTCCAAACCAAAAGAATTGGAAGTCACAGTCTAGAGTAGGAAAAGATCAGTGTGCTTGGTGCAAGGAGACTGGTCATTGGAAGAAAGACTGCCCAAAGCTCGACGAATGGATGAAGAATAAGCAGAAGGGAAAAGGGAAGCAACCATCATCAGAAGCAAACATCGTATCGGATGGTAATAATTCTGACTCTTCTATTTATTCGCTTTCTATCAGTCCTACAGATAGCTATTCGGAGGAATCTGAATGGATATTGGATAGTGGTGCGACCTATCATGTGTGCCCTAGAAGGGAATGGTTCTCCAGTTTTGAGAAGCTGGTGGATAGTGGTGTGGTGTACATGGCTGATAACCGTGCATGCCAGATCCTTGGGATAGGAAGAATTCACATAAAGATGTTTGACGGGACTGTTAGAGAGTTAAACGATGTGAGATATGTTCCTTCTTTGAGGAAGAACTTGATCTCGATTGGAGCTTTGGTTGGAGAGGGTCTGAAGGTTCGTGTTGAGGACATGGTTCTCGAGATTGCGAGAGACTCTCGTATTTTGATGAAGGGCGTCAGGAGAAATAACCTGTATTACTTGACTGGAGGTATAGTGGCAGGTGGAGAGCTGACGACTTCTGTTGATTCGACTAGACTGCGGCATTTGGGGCTTGGCCATTCCAGTATTGATTCCTCGCATAGATTGAAAGAGGGTGCAAAGACCTGCAGTTTGAAGTCCAGTGAACATGTTGATGTGAGCAAGAAGACCGAGGTGAAGTGTGGCACCTCTATTCACCGTGCTAAGGGTCGTTCTGGAGGAGTTCACGTGGATGTTTGGGGGCCTTCCAAGGGGGCATCATTGGGAGGTAATAGGCGTTTGGTTTCCTTTGTTGGTGACTGTTCTAGGCGTGTTTGGGTTGCAACCAAATCCCCTTTGGAGAAAGTCCTAGTAGTATCCAACAGATTGAAAAAGTGTGTAATAGACAGAAAGGTGAAGGTACTCCATTCTGGTGGGAGGTACAAGATGGACCTATTTCTGTATTAGAGCCGAGCTCACGGCATTGCGAGACACTTCGTTAGAAATAAAATCTTGGGGCAACTAGATAAGATGACAAATTTGGAGAACCGTGCCTTGCTAGAGGAGGATCGGTGTTTGTGGTCGAGCAATGGTTTGCAGAAGAGTTTCTGGACAGAGGCTTCGACATATTTGGGTCATCCTATTAAAGAGTTGTCAACTGCTGTGATTGGAGGTAAAACTCCATTGGAAGATAGGTCTGGTAGTGTCACTTTGGTTGAAGCTTCGATGAGGAAGCCAATTGACTCTCAGCAGGTGGAGAGTTTTGGACAGACCTTAGAGGTATCGCAGCGGGTGGAGAGTGATGCTACTGGTTTGTTTGTGTTTGTGATCATTGTAATAGTTTTTAGGATCCATCGATAAGTCAGTCCTAGAACTGATGAGAGGAAGAATGAGAGGAAGAGCCGATATCTTACTTTGTTGAGATATTCGCTTCAGATTCTTATTTCCTTGGTGAGACGGGAATTCTTATTAGGATCTTTCTCTCTTATTGTGCACCAGAAACTCTGCCGAAATTTTTGTTGCGCACAACAAGTGGTATCAGAGCTCGGGCTATGCTTGGGCTATTTGGAAGAGTAGATCAATTTGGAGAAATGTGGGATTTTTTGGTAAAGACTATCTTTTCAGTTTTGGATCTATTCTTCGTTCGTTGGTGCGTTAAGAAAGATGTCGGGGAAAGAAGGTGCTTCGAGTGTCGAGGGTGGTGCTTCTGACGCGAAGACCATTCAGAGATTGAATATCCACTCTATGAAGATAGATGTGAAGAAGTTTAATGGCACAAACAATTTTGGATTATGGAGATACGATGTTTTGGATGCGCTGAACGCGTAAAATTTGGAGGATACATTAGAGTTAGATGGCAAGCCAGATGATATTGAAGAGAATGTTTGGAAGAAGATGAATCGAACGACGTATGGTGTGATTAGGTCTTGTTTGACTCAAGATCTAAAATATGATGTGATGAATGAGACTTCTGCAAAGAAGATTTGGGAGATTCTCGAAAACAAGTATCTGACAAAGAGTGTTGAGAACCACTTGCATTTGAAGAGGAGACTTTATCGTTTCCAGTTAAAGAAGGGAACATCAATTAGAGATCACATGAACACCTACACAAAGCTTCTTGCGGATTTGGCGAATGTGGATGTCATAATTGAAGATGAGGAAAGGCGTTGCTATTGTTGAGTTCCTTGCCCGACGAGGAATATGAGACATTCGTCCTTATTTTGATCAATGGGAAGGCATCTCTTTCGTATAGTGAGGTCACTGCTGCACTGGTGAATTATCAGCTTCGGAAGAAAGATAAAGAGACTTCGACTGAGTCGGTAGCAGAGGCGTTGGTCGCAAGAGGGAATGGTCCAAACCAAAAGAATTGGAAGTCACAGTCTAGAGTAGGACATCCTATAATTGGAAAAGATCAGTGTGCTTGGTGCAAAGAGACTAGTCATTGGAATAAAGACTGCCCAAAGCTCGATGAATGGATGAAGAATAAGCAGAAGAGAAAAGGGAAGCAACCATCATCAGAAGCAAATATCGTATCGGATGGTCATATTTCTGACTCTTCTATTATTCGCTTTTTATCAGTCCTACATGTAGTTATTCGGAGGAATCCGAGTGGATGTTAGATAGTGATGCGACCTATCATGTGTGTCCTGGAAGTGAATGGTTCTCCAGTTTTGAGAAGCTGGTGGATAGTGGTGTGGTGTACATGGCTGATAACCATGCATGTCAGATCCTTGGGATAGAAAAAATTCGCATAAAAATGTTTGACGAGACTGTTAGGGAGTTAAATGATGTGAGATATGTTCATTCTTTGAGGAAAAACTTGATCTCGATTGGAGCTTTGGTTGGAAAGGGTCTGAATGTTCGATTTGAGGACATGGTTCTCAAGATTGTGGAAGACTCTCGGATTGTGATGAAGGGTGTCAGGAGGAATAACCTGTATTACTTGACTGGAGGTATAGTGGCAGGTGGAGAACTGACGACTTCTATTGATTCGACTAGACTGCGGCATTTGGGGCTTGGTCATTCCAGTATTGATTCCTCGCATAGATTGAAAGTGTGTGTGAAGACCTGCAGTTTGAAGTCCAGTGAACATGTTGATGTGAGCAAGAAGACCAATGTGAAGTTTGGCACCTTTATTCACCGTGCTAAGGGTCGTTCTGGAGGAGTTCACGTGGATGTTTGGGGACCTTCCAAGGGGTATCATTGGGAGGTAATAGAAGTTTGGTTTCCTTTGTTGGTGGCTATTCTAGGCGTGTTTGGGTTACAACCAAATCCCCTATGGATAAAGTCCTAGTAGTCTCTAACAGTTTGAAGAAGTGTAAGATGGACAGAAAGGTGAAGGTACTTCATTCTGGTTTTGATAGGAGGTACAAGATGGACCTGTTTCTGTATTGGAGCCGAGCTCACGGCATTGCGAAACACTTCGTTAGAAAGAAAATCTTAGGGCAGCTAGATAGAGTGACAAATTTGGAGAACCGTGTCTTGCTGGAGGAGGATAGGTGTTTGTTGTCAAGCAATGGTTTGCAGAAGAGTTTCTGGATTGAGACTTTGACATATTTGGGTTATCCTATTAAAGAGTTGTCAACTGCTGTGATAGGAGGTCAAACTCAATTGTGTGTTTGGTCTGGTAGTGTCACTTCGGTTGAGGCTTCGATGAGGGAGCTAATTAACTTTCAGCAGGTGGAGAGTTTTGGACAGACCTTAGATGTATCACAACGGGTAGAGTGTGATGCTACTCCATATTGGGTGAAGATTACTCCAGATCATACTGCATTGTTTGGGATTCCAGCTGAGGTAACACAGCTTAGGGATCATTTGGATTTGGGTGCAGATGATGAGTTGGGTTTTGATTCGAGTGCAGCTGATAGATGCAATTTGGATATGACCATTGGTTCACCTCAGGTGAAGATGTTTGAGGCCATTGGAGGTGCTATCAGTCGCAGAGTTGATGATATTAGAGAAGGGTTGCGAACTCTTCTATTGGATTGAGGTCGTTCGCGGCCATTTGGGTGAACTACGTTCGGTTTGATTCCTTGGGTAAGAGGATACGTAGGCAGTCTTTATGATGCAGTCGAGTTGGATTATTTGATGGGGTGAGATCGATTTGGTGAGTGTTCGCACTCCCGTTTGGGTCTCGATTTGTTGTGGATGGAGTCCGTTGTCATGAGTCCATTGTCATGGCATACTGGACGCAACAAGTGAGGCATTTGGTGTGGTCGGTGTCGGCTCAGTTTTGGGAAAACTTCGCCGAGGTGGAGAATTGTGAGTGGGGTCCACCTTTTGAGGAGACAGAACAACATGAAAAGTTTTTCCAGTACGTGAGGGCCACGACATAGAGCTGGACAAAGCAAAAACGCGTGAAGAGCCAAAGCCATGTGAAAAGATAGGAAGTGGGGTCCACCTACCCATGTGTAGTGATATATCAATTTCTCTCTTGTTGCGGTTACTGTCCACCCGAGATTATAGCTATATATATAGCTGTATTTGTTTTTTAGGTTTGTGTGCAATTGAGGGGGTGCAAGACTTTTTGCGGCTGTTGTGCAGTCGGCTTTTCTTTCTTTGGCGGGGCTGGCAGAGAACAAAAGTGAAGGGGAAGAAAAATAGCGGCTGCAACAAGGGAAAAGTCTTAGGGCTTTGTGAAGAGAGAAAAAGGCTTTTGGAGGCTGACATTTTCTTGTGAAGAAAAGGAAGGAGCCTATTTGAGGGTTTAACTGTGAGAGTTGTAAACCTATTTGTATTCTTTTTCTTTCTATTAGTAGATCCCCCTCCTTGCCCCGTGGACGTAGGCAGTTTGCCGAACCACGTAAAATTGGTTTGTTTGTGTTTGTGGTCATTGTAATAGTTTTTAGGATCCCTCGACAAGTCAGTCCTAGATCTGATGAGAGGAAGATCCGATATCTCATTTTGTTGAGATATTCGCTTCAGATTCCTGTTTTCTTGGTGAGACGGAAATTCTTATTGGGATATTTCTCTTTTATTGTGCATCAGAAACTCTGCCGAAATTTTCGTTGCGCACAACAAATACGACATGTAATATATGATCGGAGCCATTGAGCCTCAACGGACCCAATCAAAGCGGAAGGATGCAAAGGGACATGCTGAATCCACTGCTATTGGATCGATAAGGATCATCCCTACACTGATGTCACTGATGTAGTATGAACTGTGTGCCTTGCTCTCAAGAACTGATGTCACTTCTTCATTGTCTGTAGAATTAGTAAACAAAACTAGTTTTGTTCAAGTTCAAGTTCGAATGATGGTTGGCGTTGGTTCAATATTTTCTCAGGTTTTGAATTCATTACACTGAACTACATGATCATGACATTTGTATAAACTTTGTATTTTTCAGGTTGCCATAAACTGGTGTATCTGTAAAGCAACAATTCCAATTCCAGGAGTGAAGTCAGTTGAACAAGCAGAAGAGAACCTGGGTTCGCTTGGATTGCGTACGTCTTAGATCAGATGAGATTGATGAGCTTCAGTATGCAGCAACAAATTCGTCTCCTAAGATGATACAAAATATATTTCAAACTAGATGAATGGATGCATTGCTGTAAATTGCAAATATTGTTATAATATCACAGTGAGATATATCGAGATATCATAGAAAGCATCAAAAGATATTGTTATTAGCTTGACTTGGGTGATAGTTTCAATATTAGTATGATGTTGCTCTTATATTTGTGCTCCTTGCATGTATTTTCTTATGTTTCATATTATGCGGGTAACATTATTTTTGTTGAGCAAAGAAGTTGAATATCTGATCTTTGTATGAAAAATAGGAGTCTGCTTGAGAAATGAACAAGGAAAATAAGAACAAACAGCTTAGAAAGTTTGGACATAAAAACTCCCAAAAGATTGTAAAAACCCACAAAAAAGTTTGCAAAAAAATACTCAAAAAGTTTGCAAAAAAACCCCAAAAAGTTTGCAAAAAGTCCCAATAGTTTGCAAAAAGTTTTCAAAAGTTTACGAAAAGCCCCCAATGGTTTGCAAAAAGCCTCCTAAAAATTTACAAAAAACACTCCAAAAATATTATATACATAATTACTATAGTTAAATGGGCAAATGAGTGACCCGTTTATTAAATGGGCGGGTAAAAACCCGCCCATTTAGAAAATGTTAAATGAGTCATAAATGGGTAAATGAGTAAAACATGCTCGTCCATTTATTACCCGCTCATTTATACCCAAACTCACCCATTTAACACCCCTAGGTCACACACGTAATGGTATCAAAGGATACATGCACTTGTTGAGTGGTTCATTAGTGCTTGATTAGTTGGCGAACGCTGTCTTGTGTGGTATAGATGCATTTAAATTATCAAGATAAGATACCATATGACAAGCATATCCCATTGTTAAGTAAACAAAATTCATTCTTCCACCATGTTATCATTTGATTTACTGCTTTAACTAGAGGTTATAGAGCCATTTGTGGGAGTTGAAATTCTTTACTTGATATAATACCATTATTATTTGTATTGTTTATTACAAAGTATTTAGATTCTTTTTTGTCAGCTAGCTAACGGCCAATTTTTTTCTCAGTTAAAAGCCGCAGATAATTCACAAGGCTTTGATGGAGTTCCAGTTTTCTAGGTAATTTGATTATGCTATGTTAAGATGTAAACAAGTTTCCTGTGTTTTCTCGATAAGTGCAAACAATCTTGGACTGGCACCTAGTTTACGTGGAAAAGATAGCTGGCAAGCATCACAATTCACAAGTGAAAAACTTCAAATTTGTGATAGTTTAGTAAAAATTTTGTGATAGTTTTCTCTAAATACGAAGTTTATGATAGTTTTGTGCAAAAACCACAAATTTTTTTTTTTTTGTGAAATTTACCCTTAAACTGACGATAGCAATATTGATTCGATTAGAAAATAAAATTTGAATGACTATAACTAGGGATTTGAGCAGATGTTCATGAAGGGATTGGCTTCACTTGATCACTGCATGCTTAAGCTCGTTTTATTTTATTAGTTAATGAGCAGACTCAAACTTGATCAGGCTCACTTACTACGTATTCGTACTATACTTTCCTCTGGCACGACAATCTGGTACCTGTATCCTATGATTCCGAAACTTTCATACAATGAACAGAGGTCCTATTGCATTTAAAGAATTTTAGGGTCACATCTGAGAAAACACCTGAGCTTGGGAGCGTGTGTAAATAACCCCCTAAATTACCTTGGTGTGCCAAAAGTTCTATGGACTTCGCGAGTGGTGCATACAACACCTTGAAGGCTTGAACCTTTTCATTTCATTAGTCTTCCTTGAAGTTTTTGTCACTTAAGCCTTTCTAAATGCTAAATTGATTATAACATGTCATTAGCTAAGAACGTAGCAAAAAAGCCAAAATGTCTCTCAGCCCTCATAGAGGTTAATGTGAAAATTCTTCAAGGGGTTTAGGAACCTTTTGGTTCGCATTGTAAACTACTGAAATTAGCTTCCATTGTTGCCATATTAACTTTGAAAACCTCAAGCCAAAAAAGGTTTGTGTTTTAATGATTAATTGGTTTCAATAATTTTTATAAAAGAAGTATTGAAAAGCTCCGCAATATTAACTTTTTCAAGAAACCCATTTCAGTTCCAAAACCTATGAATGGGTTGTAAGTCTATTATAATATAAGTCTAATTAGCTGAAGAAGAAGAAGAAGATACAATAATTTCTTTTCTCTTGAGCACGAGTAATCCTTTTGGTTTCTACACAACGGACAAGTCTATTGGAATTCCAGATACTTTAATAAGTTTGTAGGACAATTGGTATCATAGTTTTCTTATGATTTTCTTTTTTTCTTTCCTATAGTCCCAGACTCGCAATTTAGCAAATGATGCTATTGTATGGCTTGATACTTGTATATTCACACTACAAAATAATTGGTAGCTATCAACATAATATTGGTACCCGCGTTTGAGCAAACGTTGGGATGACCCCCCAACGTTTGCACAAAAAACATTGGGACATTCCCTAAGTTTCCTTTGAAATTGTTGGCCTCTACCAATCTTTTTTTAATACTAAAATTCAGGCCACTCTTCTCTTTCAACATCCTAAGCACTCACTCCCAACCTCCTTCATCCATGAAAAAAAATGCTCACTTCCACAAAAAAAGATCGATCGATGTAGCTATAAACCCACAGCTCTACTCCCGTTTACCAAAAAACCCACTTAGTTCTATTTATTCTAATAAACCCAAAATACAAAGTTCGTTTGCCAATATAGAATATATACAAATGGTATAACTGTATACAACACAATGTGCAGCTATACATCCAAAGTATGTAGCTATACATCCTATAATATGTAGTTACACAATCTATTGTATGCAGCTATACATTTTGTATTCTATAGTTTGGGTTTAATGGTAAACAAACTTTTTAATTTGGGTTTACCGGGACATATAAAACTATGTGGTTTTATTGGTAAATGGGAGCGAAACTTTGGGTTTAGAAGCAAAACCCCTAGATTCTTATTCATGAAGCAAAACGAAGAGAAAAAAGTGGTAATAGTCTGAATCATAACTCGAATCTACTTGGATCAGATTTTAGGTTAGCTTTGGTTATATAAGCCAGTAGTTTCCAGACCATAAGGGCACTATATCTACAATACAAAAGAGGAAAGCATGATCTCCCTTAATTATTCACCGAGTTTCCCTTCTTCAGTCCTAGCGAACCAAAGATGAGAAAAAAAACCGACGGAAAGCTTATATCCTACGTGGTCATGAAAAATCTGATGTGGAGGCGGTGTAAAACTTTTCCACCGAGTTAAAAAACGAACCAAACAGCCCCATAGTGTAAAAAGTAATAGGTCGGTTACCACTACTCCAATGTTAAATATTTCCCTTTAATTTCCAAACCAAATAAATTGAAAATGTTTAACCCTAATTTACTTTGCGAGCAATTTGGTGTTAATGATCTACAGTGGATATAATTTGCCAGTTGAGTGAGGTATGTAAATCTTTACCTTCACAACCAACATGCGCTTTTATGATCACAGTCGGTAATTTATACAGGTTAACATATAAAGTTTCTAGTTATATATTTATTTCTATATGCAGTTAGGCTCTGTTTGGTTTGAAGGGAAATAGAAGAAAGGAAAAGAAAGTGTAAAAGAAAGTAATTTTTCTTTGTTTGGTTTGGAAGAAAACGAGAAAGAAAATGAATCTTAAAATCAGTGTAGAAAAACACCCATATACCCGGTTCTTTTCCCCTTTCCTCACTTGATCGGAGTGAAAATGAGAGAGAGGGAGAGAAAATCCCGACGATGCCTCCTTCAAAATTCCCGACTCCATCGCGACTCCATCCTCTCTCTCTCTCTCTCTCGATCTCAAATCTCCTTGAGCTCTCTCTCGTCGTTCTCTCGGATCTCTCTCCCTCGACCTCTCTCGGATCTCCTTCATCCCCGCTGCCGGCATCCCACTGCGCCACCACCGTGGCCGCCGCCTCCTAAAACTCATCCAGGTAACCCTAATCTCTCTCTACTTTTCATCACTTTTTACCTTTTTTAGAAAAATCAGAAGTCTATTTTGATCTAAGAGAGGAAGCCAAGCCATTGTCGAGTTCACCAACACTTGAAAGGTATCAAAATCCGCCCACATGATCTTCAATTAGGTTTTACTTTCCAAGTGTTTGATGAAATGCTCCTTAGACTTTTTTAATCAAAGCTTAATATTTTTGCATTTCATTTTTGCTATTTATTGTTCTTAATTATTTTATGAACCATATCATACACTCATCTAATTGCATTTGCATTTCATTTTTGCATTTCAGTTTTGAGAACTTTTAAGGTCCAACAAGTTCTTACTGCAGTTGTTGTTTCATGGGTTATAAGTGCATAACCATAGGTTAAACCGTAATACAACTTATATGAATCAACTTGGTGTATCCTTTTGTAAAATATTCTTAAACATGAACCAATAAGCTGCTCCATGTGAGGATTTTCTTACATCCATTTAGATGAGTGTTAAGAGGATGGAATGAGCTTTATTTTAGGTTCTCAAATTTTACAAATGATACTGTAATATCACAAATTGCACATATCATTCTTGAACGAAATTCATACATAAATAGATTATGTACACGTTCCTTGCAGTTTCTCAATTAATGCAAAAAGACGTGCCTTTGTCTTTTGGTTTGACATAAAGATGTGCATTTTCAGATTTTTAATCTTCAACTTTGCTTTGTTTACAATATTCCATTCAATATATCATCCGAGACCAGGTACGATGGCTTCATAATTTATCTCGATGGGTATTTCTTTTCCTTTGATTTTCTACGATGTTGGCACCTTTCTGAGCATACTCTGTTTGGTTTGAAGGAGGCATCGTCGGGATTTTCTCTCCCTCTCTCTCATTTTCACTCCGATCAAGTGAGGAAAGGGGAAAAGAACCGGGTATATGGGTGTTTTTCTACACTGATTTTAAGATTCATTTTCTTTCTCGTTTTCTTCCAAACCAAACAAAGAAAAATTACTTTCTTTTACACTTTCTTTTCCTTTCTTCTATTTCCCTTCAAACCAAACAGAGCCTTAGAGTTTTGAGGGGGGAAAATTGTTTTTCATCACCGGGGCTAATTGTCTGAGTTGATTTTTAAGAGCATACTAAATCCAGGAGTTTTCATCTCCCCAACCTAATATTTACCTTCGCATCCGACAATAACCTTCCGAATATTGATACAAATTAATTCTTCTTACACATAAATGCATATGATTATACCAACTTAGGAGAAAGCATGCATAAATGTACACGTACGCAATGGATATTGCAACATCAAGCAGCAACCATGCAGTAAAACTTCGGAGGCAACAAATGCTCTTAGCCTTTGGGATTGCTTGGAGTACGTAATATGCGACTGTATTTGCTTCCGTTTTCAATTTATGCATATGGTTAGTATGTTTATGTTAAATCTTTGTAATTTCACATCAAAAGTCAAATTTAGTTCCCTTTATACATGCTGTACTTTTCAATTTCGTTAAATTCTTATTAATGAAACATTGGCTTAGCCGCTTACATTCTTAGCAATATAAGATGAATATATTAAAACTCCTACATTCTTTCTAGAGAATTCATGTGGCACTTAGCTACTGTTATTTTGAAGTTGGTCCTAATTTTTCTAGCAATTTATCAATCATCAATTACTCGTTATTGTACATGAGTAGTGACAATTGTACAAAAGAGTGATACTACTATAGTACTACTCACAAAAAAGTAGAATCTTTTCTTGCAAACTGCAAAGAGAAATTATAAGTTGTTATGGTCTCACTTCTTTGTGTCCAGTACAAATATCGTAATAACTTAGCATTTTCCTATTGTACACTAGCGAGTTCACGTTTATTTAAAAAATTGTTTAAAAAATGAATATATAATTTGTTACCACCTATTAGTTACAACATTCAGCATCCTCTAATTTTTTAGGTCCATCAAAATATAGCTACAACAACCATGCATGCTAAGTAGCATGATGTGCCCACTTAGCTCAATTTTTTTCTTCAAATAAATACGTAGGGTTTCTTTGGGAAGATTCATGTGAAAGCCAACATCTACACAATTGACACGAAATTTTTGTTTTATCAAAAAATTGATATGTCCCTAAATCTCTCGAGTCCGCAGCCCACCATAAACTCGTAGTTATAACTTGTCATACCCCTAATCTCTTGAGCCTGCAGCCCACCATAAACTCGTAGTTATAATTCGTCATTCCTCATGCAAAAGCTCATGCTCCCATCCGTAGCGAGTAACTCGTTCAATCCATAGTATCCATTGAATATTGTATGTTACTAGCATCACTCTGTCGGCATTCATACTATGCCATAGGAACTCATTTTTAGACGGATGCTTAAATTTATATAAATTACACCTAAACGTGAAAATGCAATTGAGTATCTCATTCACACATTACTTTCATTCCATTCCTTAGTCCATTCCATTCTCATTTCACTCGATCCTCACGTACCAAACGAGGCGTAAATGTAAAAATCACTATACAACAGAGAATTTGACATACGTGGCACACAATCTGGAATTTTATGAAAAACTTACAAATGACCATGAAATGCCGATCATCATTGATTTAAATACATAAGGATAAACTTTTCCACTCTTAGCTTTTTTCTCAAGAAATAAAAAATAGATATCAGCACAAAAAAAAAACTTTTAAACTTCAGAGAGTGATCCAGAGTAAGTACAGGCAAGCCCTTTCAAGGATTTAGAAAGTGTTTTTTAAGCTAATAATTGATACTATCTTAGTAATAGATAGTGGTTTATTGATAAACGTATACGTATGAAGGTTTTTCCTTCTCAAATATTATCCTAAAAGTAATTATGCGTAGATATATCTATAATATATAGTTAGTCAAGAAGGATGCAGCTTCGCCACAGCATATCAAGAACAATCACAACACAAAAGGACAGCAGTAAAATTTGCATCAACTGGCTACAGATGGAAAAATCCAGTACATAATTGAAAAAGATAGTTGCTTAGAACCTTACCTAATAATCTGACAATTACACTAAGCAAAAAAATTTACTTACAAAAACAACCATTACAGCAGCAAGTAACTTCAGCTTTCACTTTCATCACCAACCTGGACTGAGTTCATTGTTTTGCCGTACGTTTCTTTAAAACAATCTTTTTTTTCTTCAATCTGCTTGATACCCAAAATAATTTTATAATACCTAATTAATTGTCGGTTGGATTTCATGGTTATGAGATGTCAGCAGATTTAATTTAGTAAAATAAACTATCAAGAGATAAAATAATAAAACACAGAAATACCTTTTGATATGACTAGTTACTTGTACATGAACCTCACCGCATGATTTATCTCTTGATAGGTCATTTAGCTAATGAGCCACCACCTCTTAAAACCTTTTCACAAATTCACAAACACCCGAAAGTAGGGGTGAGCACGGTTCGGTTCGGGTCGGTTTTTACCAAAATTTGAACAACCAAACCGAACCACCTATAATTCAAAACCGAACCGAACCATTGCAAATCGGTTCGGTGCGGTTCGGTTCGGTTTGTTCGGTTCTAACTTCATCAAGTATAACTTCACTTCAATTTATCTTTTATATATTCTTATTACCCTATGCCAGCATGTATTTATTTTTTAACTTCACTTCAATTTATTATTCTTACTCATGTATGTATACTGTTTTTAAGTGAAGTAACTTGTCCTTTTGGATTAAATACTAGACTCTGACGTTGTAATTTTTTAGTAACGAACTTGCTTTGTCTTTGGGTAAACGGGTAAACGGGTAGGGTTTGAGGCAAGGGAATATATTCGGTTGGTTCGGGTCGGGTCGGTTTGAAAAATTGTCAACCCGACCCGAACCGTCTTACTCATAAAACCGCTTTTTTCAGATCGCTTCGGGTCGGTTCGGTCGGTTTTTTCGGTTTGATTCGAGTCGGTTCGGGTCGGTTCGGTCGGTTTTTTCGGTTTGAACCGAACCGTGCTCACCCCTACCCGAAAGGGATTATTTGAGAACACAAATTACAACCAAGCACGTACGCACAAATACATATAAAATAATTATGCCCTTCTACTCATCTAAGTTGATGTCAACTGATAAAAGAAACAAAGTAATACAACCTTTTCATTGTGATGAATTCTCATCAAATTACAGTTTGGATACTGAACCATGTGCACCAAATAAAGTTACGATGAACCCCCCCCCATATATAGTTAAAAAACATGAAGGACTAACTTCACCAGTTTGAAAGAGAGTAAAAGTTACAATTGAGATTGAAGACACAAAAATATATGCTCTTTAGAGCAACGAGAGCCTAATCTCTCTTCAAGGTTTGAGAGCCAATGCAACCCCAACCCTTGAGGGTGAAGTCACTGCTTTGGGATCATACTCAGCAGAGACGGTTACCAGAGATTTGGGCCTCCATTGATGTTGGCAGAGGACTGCAACCTTTCCATTGTCACTAAACCTTGTTTTCACCATTGTCAGAGGATCGAGGTTGTGGGAGCTTCCAAAGGTAAAGCTGTTCTCCGATGATTTAAACCTGTGGACCATTTCAGCAGCTACAGCATGCCCACTGATTGGATCCACCAAGTGAATGTAAGAAGCTTTCAAGCTTTCTCCTTTGTCAGCCCTAAAATAACAAGAAGCAAGCTGGTTAGAAGCTTTCAAGACAGATAAATAATTCTGTAACTCATTAAGAGGGAATTTTTCTAGTCCTTAAAAGAGAAAATAAAATAAGTTATCTGGCCAAAAAGATGGGTTCTACTGAAACCAAAATAATAGTAAAGAGTTCTGGGTTGAGAATAAAAAAGTGATATGCCTAAAAATGAATTTGTTGGGTAAAATAAGATACAGGTTAAAAAACAAAGGCAAAAAGAAGCAAGACAAGTCTCTATTTTTTCATAATAGCACCAAGAAATCTAAAAATAAAAATAGGATTTATAAGATATTAGTCTCTTAAATCATCACTATTTGATATTAGTTCCCCAAATCTTCATATTTTGATTTCAGTCCCCCAAATTGCACAAGTATGTTAATATAAGAAGTCCCTTTATTACTATTTCCGTTCAAAACCCTCAACTATGGTTAGGCTGAGACTTAAGGCTGACCATGGCTGGCAAATTGAAAAAATTACCCATCCCCATGTAATACTCCAACTAAATGTTCATTTCCCTCTCTCTTCCCATTCCCCCTCTCAACTGCAGAAGCGATTGAAATCCTGTAAGTTGCAAACCAAATAAAGATCTGAATAAAATTGGAAAAGGTTAGATAATAAGCAGTATGTGGACATTAAAACCATCATTATAAGACTTGAATAAAATCTTTAAGCAAAGCATTATAGACAGATGAGCACAATTAAGACATGGCACATACAGCATTAGGGCAGCAGAGAAGTCAGGTTTATTCAAGCCAACCCCCGCATTGTATTTAGTGAAACACGCAGAAGCACTATCAAACCCAATCTCGGCACCAAAGCTAAGTTCCTTGGTGCCTAGTGCTGTTGAGAACTCCAACAAAGGGGCAGGTGTCAAACCAATGCTAGAGCTAACAGCCGCATGGTTGTTGAGGTAGTGCACATCAAGCTGGGAGACAAGAGTAATAACAATTATCAGAAACCTATTAAAAACATAGTCTCAAAAAGATATTTGTACTACACCTAAACACAACACAAGTACTGTTGACTTCTCTTAAAGTGGCATTTATAGTACACCCACATGCTAAGAGATATGAAACTGGTGGGTGTATGTGTGCATTCCTAATGTAACTAGCCCAGTAGGTCATAAACTACCTTGTATTACATATATTACCAGAAAAAATAATACTTGCACTTTCAACATGTAGCATAAGGATAAATATCAAAAACCTTTACAATAAACCAAAAGGCATCATTACAGATACTGTTGACTCCCCTTACAATGACATTTTAACACAGATGTTAAGGATGTTAATCGAAGGTAAAGATGCATTTAACATAGCAGGTTACTGATTACCATGTATATCAATATTAAAAGAAGATACTACTTACATATCCACAAATCAAAATATTAGATTATCTGATGAGTCCAATGTATACGAATACTAAAAGAAGATAATACTTGCACTATCAAGTTAACAAGAAATGTCTAACCGGCACAAAATGATATGAAACAAAAACTACTTCCAGTGTGTTGACGTAGTTAAAATATAAGAATTGTTATAGCAGAGCAGAAATATAATAACTTTCTGACAAGCTTTACGACTGGTGGTAGCAAAGCTTATGATGCTGCTTGGTAATATAGGAAGCTAATATTTTCCATAAAGATTAAATGCACTTTCCGAGAAACAAGAACAAATAAAATAGGGAATATTGAATAAAGAATGAAATACAAACAAAAGAGATGAACATCAAATCATTTATCTACCGTTTTAGTAACCTATAGTTCGCTTTATCTGGTTAATCTCAAGAATTAAATTATTTATTTACCTTTCCAGACTTCTGATCTGGTATTTTGAAACTGAGTGAGGCCTTCATGCCACTGACAATCTCGTTAACAGTAACTGTAGTTGATACCTGCCAACAAGAAAGTTAGTTGTCAAGTTTACAAGAGCACATACTTTCAACTGAAAGAAAAACTAAAGATATAAAATAATTCCAGGTAGCGCTAAATATATCCAAAGAAAAAAGGAGTTCATGAGTGATGCAAAAGGAAGGTACTAGTTGAGTCAGTAGCAGAAATGAATTCATGAAAGTGCAGTAATATTAATAAACCTTCAGAATCGAAACCAAGCTAGGGAACACAAAAGGGGAGCATCTCTTACATTTGAATTGGTATTGACTTTGACATCAACTGTAGTTCTACCACTCTTGTACTGTGTTCCTACATCACCAAGGAATAGTTCATTCAATTTCATTCCAGTGGCTGTAATCGCCTGCATAGCACAAATGAGAAAAATATACAAAAAGAAAAGTTAAGATTAAATTTGGTGATACTCATAAAAAGATAAAGCTTCTGCATTAAAAAAAAAGTTGGTATTTTATGTTCTGTAAGTTCTTCAGAAACTTAAATTCATAATTGCCCTTTAGAAATAAATTAGTTTTCTAATAAAAGAAACAGTGATGATGTTCAGATATGTAACTTGTTTATAAAGAAAAACTGCACAAGCAGGTGTACTGGAAAAATCATATCGATGACATCTACTCAACGATCTTGAATACAAATGTATTACTATTCAAATATCAGCTCAATTCATAAGAGGAAAACACCCTGGTCTATGCTGAACAAAGTTCAAATATCAGTTCAAAGCTCTAACAGAGTAAACTGAAAGACGGCATAGTACAAGAACAACTTTTTTATCAGTCACCTTTGTGAATGAACTAGAAGTGAGTTCAGAAACCGCATCATCTATGTAAGATTCTTATAGAGTAATCAACTGACACTTAACAAACTAAACACCATGAGCAAGAGTCTGATAGCATCTCCAATAATACAAGAACAACTCTTTAACTGTCACCTTTATGAATGAACAAGAAGTGAGTTCAGAAACCGTACATCTATATAAGATTCTTATACGCTAATTTAACAGTCCTGATTTTACAAACTAAAAAACATGAGCAAGAGTCTGATGGAATCTCTGATATGTAGCTAGGATTCGAAACCCTAACCCTAACCCTACGCCGCATGCCAAGAAACAGAGGTTTGAAAAAGGTTGTCCATTTAAGAAGACATGAAGAAAAGGAAGGCAGTCAAGATTTGAGTTTTTAGGCATTTAACAATCCAAGACACCTTGCAGCTAAAGAAGGATCATCCAACAGGATGCGTATGTTGGTGGGACTCACAATATGAGGGATTTTTCTAAGATGGTTACCACAGGGGACTAATGTCAAACTAAGCTATGTACGTAGAGAAGTTTCTATAACTCTTCATCTAGATAATCTTAATTATTCAAATGCTACCAATTTCTAATTCTTCATTCTCACAGAACACGTCCGAATATTATCTGACCTACATTATCTTTTTTCTTGAGCATGAAAAATAACTAAAATATTGAACAGTACAGAACTATAAAATATTGAAGTAACTATTGTATACAATGATCAATCATCAAAAGAAATTCACCATGTTCACCAAAAAACGACAAAACCTGCTCTTACCAGTCCGGCATTACTTAATGTTGTCAAAATAAATTTGTGATCGAAGTTATAGTCCTTTGTCAAAAGATCTGCATGGAAAGAGAAACTTGTTACAAAAAGAAGGTTTAACTAACCATAAAGACAAATTCAATACCATATAATAGTAATGCTAAGAAAAGAAGCTGGTAAAGGAATTAACACTCTTCAAAGAGGTTATAGCATGCAAAATGGCTGAAAGATTTGGAAACAACATAGACAACATGTTACATTTCTTGAATGGAAAAACAGTAGTTAGCTTAATGAACAAAATCATTGCCTCACCATAAATCAGACAAAACCCTTGAAACAATTGTTGATATCCATCGTAATGAACTTGTCCATTTACAAACTTCTTTCTTGCCAGCTTATTCTAACTTCGCATATAAGATGTGCTTCACTATCAAGATTCAGGTATAAACATGCAGCATGAAGATTGTAGCTTGACCGAAATGAATATTTCTATTGGATTCTTGCTTGTA